CCGCGGCCTCCGCCGCCCCGCTGGGCTGGGCGGCCGCCGAGCACGGCCCGCCGGGCTGGGGCGGCCCGCAGAGCGTCCCCGAGCGGGGAACATGTGTCCGGCCCAAGCGCCTCATCTCCCGAGAGGCAGAACGCCTTCTCCTGCTTGCTCCCAGACGCCTGTTGCTCCGAAATGCCCTCACTCCCTTCTAGGTGTTCTTCCCATTTGATACGTTTTAATCTCATTCCGTAGCCTCTTCCCCACCTTAAGCCAGCCTCCTGGCTGTTGGGCATCTGTCCAAGTGGACACTTCCTAGTTGAGGTAAAAGTTTAGTTGTGAATAGGAGTGGTTAGATGCTCACTGGAGAGCGGCTGACGGGAGCTGGCAGGTCAGGAAACACGTTCCCACAGGATGGCATGTTCCAGACAGCATCGCACATAACCGGCACCAGGGCAGCGCCTCCCGCTACACACCGACCGTCCTGAACCTCTCACCTCTGCTCACCAACAGGCTGGGGGAGACAAGAACATATGGAAGAAATACAGAGTAGTGGCTCAGGATTTCTTCCTCTGAAGGAAGAAGGAAAATCTAGGCAGCCTATGGCTGCAGGTTAGAGGAAGGCGGTTTGAACATAAGTCATTATGAATGGCCAGCTTTATTTCATTGCAATAAATAAACCTCGACTTTCACATTCTAGTTTTTGTGTAGTTAGGAGACAATAGTATGATGGCCCAGAGCTAGGCATAATTTTCTCATGATTCTCCCTTGATAGAAGTCAGTCAGAAAGTATGGACTAGCTGAAAAAAAAGGTATTAATGTGAGTTTCAATGCACTGTTTGATCTATAGTGCTCTTTGACCTCAATAGCTATTAGCATATGCATTAAAAATTGTTTAAACTTTTTAAAACTCAGATTACACCTGGAGATATGTCAAATATTTAATATCAAATGTCAACATAGCACAACTCTATAAATATAGAAGCAAATAATTACTTATAGATAATGTAAGGAGTTTTAAACAGGCTGATTTCTTCTAATGGAGTTGAATTTTGCTAGTTCAATGCCTGTTCAATGTGACACATAATCTTTATGGCTCATAATTCACCATGATTAGATTAATAAAACCATTTCAACTCCTGTGAGTCCACAGAAGTGCCAGGGATTCACATGCCTTTTAGAAAAAAAAATGTGCCTTTATTTTCAAGAATGAAAATAATTTAACTAATTATACCTTTTCTGCAAGCTCTGGGCATTTCATCTACAGAAGAAAGATGGAAAGTGATACAAACTGCCAACATACAATGAAATGTTAGATTTTTTTCTGTTCTTTGAGCTCAAGCTGAAAAAGGGATAAACAAGTGATCTCTATTATAATAGCAAAAGAGAAATTTAAGAAGTTACATATAGTGCAAGAGATAAATCATGGGTACATTGACAGATGTTACTTACATGAATATAAAAGGGAGATTTCATCATTAAGTCAGATGAACTGAGTAATGGTTTAAATTGTTACTTGTAACTCAACTGTTCTCAGGTTTTCTTGTGTTAGAAAAATAAAGGTAATTGAGTGACTGGCAGAGTTTATTACTTGGCTTCAAAAGACCATTTGTAAAGCCTGTCTTTTGGGTCACATTTCAAAACTAATAATATAGGAAAGAGTGCATTTTGGTTTGGGAAAAAATCTAATTAGCTATTTGAAACAGATCACAAATGTATTGGGAAAAAACTGCCAAAGATTACATCAAAGTTTTCATGACATATAGGAGTCAGATCACAGATTAGGCAAACTTATTTATTTATCCCATATATTGCTTTGATACATATGAAAGGAGCAAGTTTTATCCATTAGAAGTTCTGATCAGAAGATTCACATGTATTTGTGAACTGAAAAACTCAACACTTTGTTTATGACATATTATGACTAACACTTTTAGTTCTTTTCTTATTTTTGATTGCTGTTGATCCCAACTATTCTAACTAATGTTTTTATGTTAAGTAACTCGATGCTGCACACCCTAATTACCAACTGCACTCATAATAATCTTGTTTATTTAGAAACGTCTTTGCTCTCTAGCCTGGGCAAGGACAGCTATTGATTCTCTTAGATAATAATCAAAAGCTGTTTGTTTATAATCTTCATTCTCCAAATTCCCTGAAATGAATTTTATGATAATTTTAACCCAGTTAGAAGCTGCTGAAAATGGATTTGAAATGGTACTGATGCCAAATCCAAAAGAATAGTATTTATAGCCTAATAAAATACTGCTTTTAACCTTGCAAAATGAGTTTACTTGTAATCTGTAGGAGTGTATCCCTTAATGACAGAGTGGCAAAACTAACTTTTGTTCCCCAAAAAAGGAAAGAAGCCCAGAAGTTTCTCTCAACGATTAGGTGAAAAGCCACCTCATAGGACCTCAGGGATTTAACCAAACACTAGAGAACATATAACTGGATAGAAGCCAAAAAGTCCTGCCTGACCCATCAGGTAGAAAAGAAGAGAACAAAAGAGCTAAAGTGCTTTTGTGAGGTGTTTTTACCAGAAGCAGACCTTTGCACCTGGCTCGAGTTTTTCTGTTTGTTATTTTGCCTTTTATTAAACCTTTTTTGTTTCTAACACCGTAGCAGAAGTCATCCTGCTTATTTTATCCCCCCAAAAGTCATAGCCGAGCTATCCTTAGGTGTATTAAGTTTCTTTTTGAGGGCTTATGAGACCTGGCCCAAGAAAAACAAACTTAATAGTAATCTTTAAAAATTATATCCTATTTGCTTCTGGTTTGTGTCTCATCTCTCCAGAAGTGCTACTGGTTCACTGGCTGGGGATTGTGCTTTCTGTGCAGGGAACACTGTGGCACCACAAAAAACCCCTGTAAAAAAAGCAAACCAGGAAAGAGACATAAATAGAACAAAAAAGTGGAATAAGATTAGATTGCACATTAAGATCAAAGTCTTTACCAAGCTACAGTCCTCTGTTATAATGAAACTATAATGGTCCTCACATTCATAGGCCACTCTGGTTTCACCATGCTGCTGCAAGTATTTTGTTACCAGCATCCTTTCATAAAACTATTTGCAGTTATGTCATATCTGAAAGCCAAGGCTGTGAGTCAGGACTAAACTTCTTCGTTGCCAGTTTGTATCCATTTCTTTTTGGCCCACACTACTTTTCACCAAAGGAGCTCTTCTTGCTCCCTAGTATTTAATCTGTGATTTATTTTTAGGGATCCCTTCTCAACCTTAGGTAATGCAACCTGTTAGGTAATGCAAGCCAAGAGCAGTTGTCTCCTCTTGTTAGAGAGCCACCAGTGCCCTGATCATTCTAATTCCCCCTTGCTCTCCTTCCACTCAACATCCTTAAGCAACAGTGAACAGAGATGTGTACAGTATTCCAGATTAAGTTTCACAAGTCCTTTCTTAAATATTTATTTTGTATATGTACTCACCTGCTGTGTTCTAGGATCCTATTTGTCCTTTTGAAAGTCACATCACATCAGAAACACCAGTGATTCTGCCTCTGAATAGCATTTGTGGGTCTTCTGTCCTGCTGGTTTCCCACAGCTGAGATTATGCTAATATGGAAATGCTGACCTGCCACCGGGTGGATGCCCTTTCATTTTGCACTGTTGAATTTCAGATAGTCACATAAGCAATTCTGTCTCTAGTCTTCAGATGTTTCCCATATGGCATTTAAAAAAATCTTTAAATGCTGCTCAGCTCTCAGTCTTTAAGTCAGTAGCACAGCTAGTGCTGGTGTAATTACTGCAAATATTAAAGTCAGTCTCAAGATGGATCTTTGAAGTACTCCACTAGTAAGTTTCTTTCAGTGTAACAGTTTCTTTAAATCATTTTTAGTAGTCTCTCCCCATCATCATCTTTTGTTTCTTGTTTTAATCCCTTTCTTAATTGGATTGGTAATGACTCATACCATGCAGTATCAGAAACTTTATTTAGATACTGCAAGATTAGATATACTAAATTTCCTGTAGTGACTTTATATCAAATTCAGGTAGTCATACACAAAACCCTCTATGTCCACATCTGATATAGTAAACTGACTGTATTTGGGAATCTATTTCTGAATTACTAATTGATTAATGCTTAATTTTCATAAAATTGTGCTTACCTATTAATCACAACTTGAAGAATGTATATTTTCACGTATGGATAATGTCCCTTTAATCACTAGTGCTTCTTTACAACAATGTTAATGCTTTCATTACACCAGAATAAATACTGAAACACTTAAATTGATAAAACCCTGTTTTAAAATTTCTGTAGATATTCACTGGAAGCCTCAGGAACACTAATTTATATTTCAGGCTAAACAAAGGTTCCATTCTGATTGGAGTTACCAGTATAAACCTACTAACTGGAGAGTATCTGTCCTTGATTGCTTCCAGTGAAAAATATTTCAGATTCAGGCTCATTGTTATAAATGTTTTTTAAAAATTGTCTCTTGTTATATTAGAACTTTTAAAATTCAGATCAGAAAAAATAATTCCATATTGTACACTTAGGTATGGTAAAGCATGTTAAAGAAAGGTTTGGTTATTTACGCAGACTAGGACATCATTCAGGATGAACTGATGTCATCCCTCCTCTCTAATGGCTCTACCTGTGTTATTTTTTCATGTTAAGGCAGTGGAGTTAAATAGCTGTGATCCAACCTTCCCGTAACAGTTAGCTCTGTGCTACATAAATGGAAACAGAGCAGGTTTTTAATTGTGATGAGGTAAGCTCTCTCCCTCCATTTCATCAGGGAGCTGACATGACTTGCTGAGCTGGTTATGTAGCATATAACCACAGCCCTTTCCCACAGGAAGGACTTGGCAGGGGAGCAACAAAGCTGGTAAATGTAATTACCTGCTGTTCCGTGACTCTCAAAGCATGAATGATGAAATGTTTTCTGTGACACTCGCTTCTAGCTGCAAAATGATGATCCCTCCTTTTGCTGCTTATTGATGGCAGAAAGGCAGGGAAAGGTGTGCACTGCGAGGTTGTGGAGGATAGAGGGGATGACGCTTGCCATGGTGTCAGTCTGTTTCCAAACAGTGAGGCCACTCATGGTAGTGCTGGCTGCTTGCTGCCTCACAGGAGCATTTTTTCACTTCAAGAATAGGCAGTATTGCACCTTCTTTTCTACCACAGTTATTTTATGCTTCCAGTTTTTATCAAGATTAAGCTATTAATAATATTTCCTGCAATTGTGAGTGGTGAGTTCCTGCTTCTGGTATTTCTGTATTGCCCATTTCCCCTACCTCCTTCACAGTCTGTCCTTGTCAGAACTGTGTTCTGCTCTCAGTCTTAGCCAAAGTATCTACTTTCCTTGACCCTAAATTGCCATTAACCAACATGAAAGGGAGAGAAGGTGACTGATGTCCTGTAACTGACAAAAAATTAGACATTGTGAACACTTTTATATCTCATCAGGTTTATAAAAATAGAGAAGATAGCTTTTCTAAACATCATACACATTATAAAATTTGTCTATGTAACATTATTACCACATTATCAACATTTCTTTTCAGAGGAAACAGCATTGTTGATTCCCACCCCCAACTTTTTTTTCCCTGGTATCATCTTAAGGCCCTGTGCACAATGATCACTGCAACTGCCATCTACACTCTGAGCAGAAATGTGAGGCTTGATCTGCGTCATCGCTCACATTTAGAGACTCACTTATCAACTGGGATACCAACTGAGCCCTTGAGACATGAGCAAATGTCTATATTTATCACCAACAGCCCTTTTTCCACAAACTCTTGCCACATGATGTCATTGCACTGGTTGCATCTCAAATGCCTGCTGCACCCATTCAGTGAATAAAATTTTAATATATGCAGAAGCTGAACAACAAATTGTGAGGCAAAGCTCTCTGAGACATAGCCCTTGTTTTATGCAACATTTTCACACCTCAGTGTAAGTGTGGATACAGTTTTCCTCCTTTCTATGTTAGCATTTAGGATGAAATACACTAGGTACTTTAGTTATTACTAACACTTAGGCCATCACAAATCAGGTGGCATCAGGAGTAGAAAAAAGACACTGGGAATGGGAAAGAGAAGAATTGGTTCTTTTGGCAATTCTGTTGCCTTGTGACAGCTTTATAGATTCACTGACCATACCCCAAATAATTTGCCTGTAACTGGTAATTTTATGAAAGAAATGACATGATATGATATGATATGATGATATGATAATCTGCAGGCAACAGAGGATGAAATTGATGTTTTGTCAGTATGTTCCTTCTAGTTGAAGTGTATATGCATTTCTTCCCTGTATTGGACGTTTCTTGATATATTTTTCTATTTTCTAATAACTTACAAATTTTTTCCTTGGTATACCACTTCAGATTATTAGTATAAATTCAACATTTCATCTTCAACTTACATACAAAAAGTTATTTTGTATGTAATTCTGTAGGTAATTTGTATGTAGTTACATTCATTAAATATTTCAGTGAGAAGTATCTTTATCTGAAGGGCTGTTATGTCAGCATAAACAAAAAGAAACAAAAAAGAAGCAATGGAAATGCTTATTTAGTGCATTTCACTACATCATTTTAGCCAACTTCTTTTTTCACTAGCAAATGTTCCTGGTGATGTAATTAATTTGTTTCTTCTATGTCAATCATGTATCTACTACACATGAAAGTTAAAATTAGTTCTACTCTCATGCATTTCATTTTACGTCAGTGAATACCACTGTTGTTCCACAGCTGTTTTTGTGATTGTGGTTTGCCTTCTAAACAATCTAAACTATCCCTGGAATGTGCAGGGTAACCAGTGATAACAGTAATGTCAAGAGAAACTTTAACCATGGGAGATGTTTATGCTTTATTACTGCAGAGCTTGTTTTGAGATCTATTCTGTAAGAGCAAAGGACTGGACATTACCCTGTAATGAGTGAATCAGAAGCTCAGGAAGATTACTCTGTGGAAAACAGTGAAGGGCATATCCATAGTGTGCTCTCCTCACTTTCCAAACACCTCTAGTGTTTGTGAGGCCACGACCTGTAGGGAAAAGTGGACAGAAGTTGGAAATACAGGAGTATTCTGGAAGTAATCCATACATGGGTTGTGTTTTAGCTGGGTCATAATAAAGCAAAATTTAGTTTTTCTTGGAATTAACAGCAGTTCTATATGTATCTGAAAGAAATTTTAAAGACCAATATTCTAGTAGTAAAAGGCACTAAAGGCAGAACCATGCGTCCCTGGCTTTTATAGAGACTATTGCATTAAAGGCATTCAAATATTTCTTTGAAATTTCTATTTCACCAGAATTGTACTCATAGCACTTGATCATTCCAGATTGTGCACCTGGTGGTGGTGGATAGCCCTCCATGGAAGTGTTCAAGGCCAGGATGGAGTTTTGAACAACCTGGTCTAGCAGAAGGTGACCAGGAGCTAGATGATCTTTGAAATTCCTTCCAATCCAGGCCATTCTATGATTACTCCATGGTGTAGACCATGGTTTAGGATGTTATTGTTAAAACCTGTCAGATATCTAAGAAAATTACCTTTGGGAAGTGCTGATTCCTGGTAACTCCTATATGAGATGCTTCTGTGGCAGAGGCTCAGTGGGATTTTTGTCATTGGTCATCCAGAGAGACTGGATTCCCCTCAGGCCAAGTACGTGTGACTAACTCTGGCTGCTCAGTGATGAAAAATGTTGGTTGCATTACACTGTCAGTACTTAATAACACAGGTAAAACACAGCAAGGTGAGCTTCTCGTTCCATTTACTTCACACAGGACATAATAAAGATGTCAAAAGTAATATACTATTAACATCAAGACAGTGGTTACAATGTTTGTTTTGTCTCTCAGTTACCTAGCAACAGATCTTGATTGTATTTTAACATTATTAGTAAGCTTATTATGTGCATTTTAACTGAAAATTTAGGAAAGACATTATATATCTGCTTAAAAGCAAATGTGAAAAAAGAACAATCTATCTGCTACCATAATAAAAACCTAATGGCATATCTAGCATGTGTTTCAGGATATTCCTTGTATTTCTGTTCAGACAAACAAGTTTTCTTATCCTGAATATGCTGCATTAGAGCATCAGAATACTAGTACAAGGGTAATTTGGGCATACATAAATCTATTTCTCTCCTCAAATGAAGCACCAAAACTTCGAGTCATACCTCATTGTAACCAACAGTCAGAATTAAACAGCTGCCCATCCATTAATGTACCACCGTTCCAAATAACCTACGGATTTGGAGAGGCAGAAGAGTCATTAGCAGGAGTTTCTATAATATCCTAGAAGAAAGAAATTTGCAGTACTGAGCATTCAAAATGCAGCACTTGGCTCCTGCCAGAAGTGCTCTTATTCTGCTGCATCCATTTACTGTTCTCTAAGAGAAAGAAAGAGCTGCCTTTCCGTCCCCTCTGTTACCAGACTATTGAAGACTTGAAACCACTATCCTGTACTCACCTCTGACATTTACTAGAAGACAGAACATTCACTAAACCAAACTACAGATAGCTTTTCTGAAAAAAAAAAAAAAAAAAAGTAGCAAAAGAACTGGTGAGCATTAACATTAAGTAATATACATTATACAATTTTATAAATGACCAAACACACAATGAAGAGCAACTGGCATATTTGAAACCCACTTGGAAGGGGCAATTTCCATTAGTTTTACATTAATTCTCCTATCAGTATATATATATAAACATATACATGTTAACTTGGAAATAGACACTGTCAAGTCTTGACTAAGAAATAAACTAGACGGGAATCTTTCCTTTGCTGCAAGCCTCCATTTCAAGGAGGAAAGATTTCAATTTACTGCTATTTGGTCAATATATATTCCTCTCTAAGTAATGATTAGTCCAGAAATAAAGACTCACTGACTGGGCTCACAAACTATATTTAAAACAAAGTTCTGAACATTCTGAAATACAAGAGTCACTCTGTAATTTCAGAGCAGTTGTAATATCTTATCCCACTCTAACAGGCTGCCAGAAATGCTCCTGGATAAGGCCTATCACCATTTGTTCTAAAGATATCAACTTTTTGGCTGGCTCTGTCAGGTAACTGAGGGCATTTGGGCTTTGATTCATATCTGATATACTTCTTACATTTCAGCTTCGAAGGCAAAAAATTTGGATATGTATTTAATCTGTAAAATTTTACTAAAAGGTTCCCAATACTGCATGCAATAAACTGCTGTGTTTTATCCAGAATAAAAAAAGATGTATGTGAAAACTTTCCCTGTAAATATCCACATTACTTTGTATGAAGCATTTGAGCATTTTTTCTCCAACATGTAATTTAGCAGAGTGAGTCATAATATGTTTTCCATGTAAAGAGAATGAAATTCCATATTGTGTTACTGGTATCCCTGGAATTAACTGCAGAGACTGAAGATAGGAAGTATATCCCTAAACATTGATACAAAACACAACCAAGGCTCCAAAGAAAATTATTTTGGACATTGCAGTATATTGCAACTAATCCTCTTATTCTGTCTTTTTAATTAATGTAAATGGAATGAGGAAAAGAAACTTTTCAGAATATCCAAATAAAGGGTTTTCTGTTTGTTTGTTTTTCTGTTTGTTTTTAAAGTTCTACAATCTGCTTGGATTAGTAACACTTTCCTGAAGATACTTGAGGCTGTGGGATGACATTCAGACCTGTTTTTAAAGTATCACTTAGAACTTACATATGTCAGTACCTTTTCTCCCGTTTTGTTAGGAATGACTGTCTGTGTTAGCATTTGGTCATAGTGCAAACTGGTTTCTGGTGCATGCCCGTCAGCACACAAGCAAAACGGAGAGTGTACAGATCTCCTCATCGTCCCCGGACAAAGGCTTTACAACTTCATTTATACCGCAGCTAAGGCTGGAGGACATGGCTTAATTTTGAAGTGCTATCGGCATTAATACACCAATTATCAATGATCTTGACGAGACCTGCATTTCAGACCGCGTGCCTTCTGTTAATACGTGCTGGTTTATATCACACACCTTTGTATGCATGCAGTGCTTTTCCCAGAGTGGCACTTCAGGTGGACAAACAGCACTGGCGTCTGGCACTGTCCAAACCCGAGGGGACATAATGGATATTATCCCGGCCCGAGCTGCCGAGCAGGAGCCGCGACACCGAGCGCACGTAGGCCGGGCAGGGGCGGCGCTCGCTGACGTGCGGGCAGCCCCGCCCCCCTCCCGCGCTCCCGCAGCTTCCAGAAGGGCCGGAGCCCGCGGGGGGGCCGGCCCGGTGGCGCAGTCGGAATTGCTGCGGCCGCGGGGCCCGGCCGGGGCGGGGCGGGCGGTGATGCCCTTGTTTATTTTTACCCGGGCGGTTCATCCTCCTCGGCAGCCCCAGCGCGGCCCCCGCTGCCGCTCCCCGCCCCAGCTCCGACGGCGGCGCCGCCTATAAAGCGCCGCCCGCGGGGAGCCGAGGATGCAGCTCTACAGCTCTGTGATCACCCACTACCCGGCGGCCGCCACCGCAGCAGCCGCCGCGGCCTCGCCGAGCTCCGCCGCCGTCTTCAAGGTCTCGTTGTCGCCGGGACCCTCCGCCGCGGAGGCACCGAGCGCCGCCGACGCCGCGGGCCCGAACGCGGCCGCTGAGAGCTCCGGCAAGGACAGCTTCGTTCCCGCGGGGGGCAGCAGCAGCGCCGCCGCCATGCCCGCCTTCTCGTCCTGCCTGGAGGTGATGCCGAGCGGCCCCGCGGCGGGGCCGGCCGGGCGGCCGGCGGGCGGCCCGCAGTTCAGCTCCTGCGCGCAGGTCACCGTCAGCCGGCGGCGGCCGCTGGAGCGGATCGTGCCCATCCGCATCGTGCAGCGCGCCGAGGCCGCCGGAGAGCTGGTGCCGGGCTCGCCGCGCAGCCGCGCCTGGCTGGAGGGCATCCTGGAGAGCGTGCGGCAGGCCGGGGGCGACGGCGAGGCCGCCGCCGAGGAGCCCAGCAACCGCAGCCTGCGGCTCAGCGAGCACTGCCAGGCGCTGCAGGCGGCGGCCGCCGGAGCCCAGCCCGGGCTGGTCCCCGGCTGCGGCCCCGCAGAGCGGAGCGCGGGCCCCGCGCAGCCCGGCGGCCCCGCGCACGGCGAGGAGGAGGAGGCGGCGGGGCCCGACGTGCGGCGGGGGCCCGGCGGCAGAGCGGAGCGCAGCGAGAAGCTGGCGCTGTACCTGGCCGAGGTGGAGAAGCAGGACAAGTACCTGCGGCAGAAGGGCCGGTTCCGCTTCCACATCATCCCCGACGGGAACTGCCTGTACCGCGCCGTCTGCAAGGCGGTGTACGGGGACCAGCGGCTGCACGGCGAGCTCCGCGAGCAGACCGTGCACTACATCGCCGACCACCTGGACCACTTCAACCCCATCATCGAGGGCGACGTGGGAGAGTTCCTCATCGGCGCCGCCCAGGACGGGGCCTGGGCCGGCTACCCGGAGCTGCTGGCAATGGGGCAGATGCTGAACGTGAACATCCACCTCACCACGGGCGGCCGGCCCGAGAGCCCCACCGTTTCCACCATGGTTCACTACCTGGGGCCCGAGGACCCGACACGGCCCAGTATCTGGCTGAGCTGGCTTAGCAATGGGCACTACGATGCTGTGCTGGACCGCGTGTGCCCCAACCCAGAGTACGAGGCGTGGTGCAGACAGACTCAGGTACAGCGCAGGCGGGATGAGGAGCTGGCCAAGTCCATGGCAGTGTCCTTGTCCAAGATGTACATTGAGCAGAATGCCTGCTCATGAGAGCGCCTGGGCCGGGAGCTTTGCTGCAGGGACTGACAGAGAGGTGTGCTGGCTGTGATGGTGATGCCTTAATCCTTAATGAAGCAGCAGCACCCCAGACGGAGAAAGACTGTAGGTTGCGGGGGATAAATACAGACGTAGTTGTAATATTCTGTTGTAAAAACTTAGCCTCGGGTTATTTGCAAGCAGATTTCTCTGTGTATGTTTGTGTCTCCCCTCCGCACTGTCTATTTTCTATAAGAATGTATTTTTTGCACACTATTTTTAAACTGTTACCTCCATCTTCTACATCTTACATTAGTATCTGGCTTTCAGCTGTACAGCCAAAAACGTTTGTAAACAGTTTTTGTAAATAAGGCTTATGATGTAACAGCTATTTTTTGCTGTGTTTTTTACCCATAAACCTTATATTTTTACCAAATGAAGTTGATGTCAAACTGACCCCCCTAGTTGATGAAAATATTGTGGGTATTTTCTTGCAAAATTAAAATAATGGCTTTTGTAAAAGTGTGGCAAAGTGAGAACAGACTGCTTTTAGGAACAGTGGCTTTTTCTGCCTGGAGCACAGAACAGGTCCTTTGAGCCAGTTGGAATGCAGCTACACGTGAACAGTGCAGGGAGCAATTGACTCTTCTGTTTTTAATTACTGTTTTGAGTAAACTGGCCTCTTGTTGCCTGGTTGGCTCACTCTCCGCTCCATTTACATTATTTATCTATAATAACAGAACATTTACTTGCAATAGAATGTTGTGACTAGATAATAGTCTCCTGCTTTGGCAGTAATTGCCTTGGCTGCACCTCAGTGTTTGTGTTCTTGTTTCTGGGGTTATGGTGTCTTTCGTATAAGCCCTGCTTCTTTTTTGGCACTGGTGTTTCACCAACAAATCATTATCTGATCACAACATTTTATTCACGTGACTTTATTTTCTAATCAAGAAATCAGGAATGGTGTTCTACATTATGGTTTAAAAGAGAAAAAAATACTTAGGTTGAGGTTTGTATGGTTTGCTGGGTCAAACATTTAAATGTCTCCAATCTGGATTCTGTCTCTTCTACTTTCTGATTAACTTGTTAGATATATTTATTAAGTAATGCAGTTTGTACTTTTTTATTTTGTAATATATTGTGATTTTGGAATTTATACTGTATTTGTATAATAGGAATATTCACAGCTAAAATGGAATGAATAAAAAATATAATTTTACTTGTGCTCTTCTTTGGTACCTTGTGCATTCCTGGTGTGGGGAAGAATTGTGGGTGGGTTCACAGGACCTTTTATTTAGCTTTTCTGCCTTAGTCTCCCCTGTTAAGAGGTGGGAAGAAGGGGCATGGTGCTTCATAGATGTGAACCACGGATAATTCTGGTGTCTGTCAATATATGAAAGAAAGAAATGCAAGCATTTAAAGACAATTGAATATCTGTAATTATATTCTTACTGCAAGAGATCTTAGTACATCTGTGTGCCAGTGAGAAACAAATTTCTATATTAATATGCCTTAGAAGAGGAGTTCTCAAGGGGTGGGTGGTGAGCCAGCTCTCTGCTGGACTGTGCACACTTGGGCTTGGACATTGGTCTTTGGGAGCCTCCATTCTGCAGTTAGCCCCAAACTTGGGGTTTGTCCTGTCAGTGGTGATGCCTTGGCACCCTCTTGTTACTCAAATAGAAGTTATGTTATAGGGAGATACAGCTTTCTACTGCCCTCACAAGATGGAAATGCCTTGCAAGTTGTTAAAATGTGTTTACAAATCAGTCCCTGATCTCAAAACAGTAAAAGGCTTCATCCTTAAACAACAGAATGGTACTGGGTTAAAGTTATGATTAAAAAGTAACTAAATAGCTGAAATGCATCAGTCTTAGCTGAGCACATGTGACAGAGCTGCAGGACATACATATGTTTATTACTGGTTTATGTGGTACAAAGAGTAGATTTAAATAAGTTATTTTCAAAATATTGGTAAATATAATATTTTTCCCATTCTCTTCACACCCAGTTGTGCTTTTTCTTTAGAGTGCAAACAGTGGTCGAAAGACCCTGGTCTTTCTAGTCCACTAGTGCTTAACCTATGAATCTTTGGAAAGCTGAGTTTTGAGGTGAAAGCATGGCAAAGATGCAGTCATGGATGTGTTCATAAGGAACAGAGGTAGTTTATGGGGAAAATGGCTACTCACGTGACTCTAAAAGTGAAGGTATTAATACAGCATCACTAAATATCAGTGATGTGTTGACAGATTAAAAACTTTTTATCCAGGCTGCTTAGGCTTTGGGTTGGATGTGATTACTTCATTCAAAGTTGTGACTATCCCAAACTTTAAAAAAAATCCCAAACACATTTATTTTAACTGTTCTAAAATCACCATTTTTGGCTGTATCATGGATTGTGATCACATATTTTGTTTGTGTGTTGCAACACAAACCTTAGAAATGCTCAGTAAGCTAAGCAAAAAGGATTGGTACAGCATAGTGCTCATTCTGTGTGATAAAAATGATACTAAAATATCACAAATAAATAAATCAGTATTAAAAACCAACTGTGTGGGACCCTGGGATGGGTTCCCACAGAGTTCCTCAGCAATTTATCTACTGCATGAGTCACAGGGGCATGCAGATAACTTCAAGGAATTTGAAAAAATGAGGTTACTTGTTGAACTAGTTTGCAAAGACATGGAGGGTGTATTGCTGAAGCATGTAACAAGGCACTTGTTTTTGCAGCTTGCATTATGTACTGTGTCTAAAAGGAAATTACAGAAATGGCTTTTTAAATGTTTTGGACAAAGGGAAAGTTTTGTTGGGTTTTTTGGTTTGTTTTTTTTTTTTTTTTTTTTTTTAATAGCTGTGGTGTTTAAAGTTCAGCTGAGACACTAGGTTCAGATGCAAGCTAGTGGTGTCTTGTTTGAACAGGAGTAGAGGCAGTTCCATGGACAAATTTTATGGAAGCAGTGATCCTAATGTGGACAGAGCTTTAAAAAA